AAGAGTGTCTTCTAAGAGTGTCCCACAAGAGTGTCCTACAAGAGTGTCCTAATGACATGACCTATAGGATATTTTTCTTCACTTCCGTTGTGTGTGTGTCTCATATACTTCTTGTCGATGCAGGCGAACCACAACAACGCACGGTCTTGCACTCCTATTCACAAGAAGATCAGACGCCGCAATTGTGGATTTCTCTGTATTATGTGGACGGTTATCATTTTCAAGTGCTTATTTTCGAGATTTTGGGACAATGCCATTGTTTCTTTCGTGCCGCGGATCTGCCAGACCCTTTACGCCAGTGCTTGATTTGAATGCAAAACAAAAATCCTTCATGATGAAGACAGAGCTTGGTGGTGAAGTCCCCAGCGCATGCTGCCTTGGTGGTGGAGTCCCCAGCGCATGATGTCCAACAACGTGTCAGAGAGTGAAAAAGAGATTCCCACCGGCTGTGTCTCTTTTTATACACAGTGGTTTGACGTATGTGTTTGCATTCGGGTTCGTGGGCTCCATCTTGTATTCTTAATATATATAGTATAGTTTTCTGTGTGTGATAACTTTCTTGCCTGGCATGTACTGGCTGTGCCATGGCCATTTAGAATTGAGAAGGACAGCAACTTGAACCGTTTCCGAGTCTCACCCACTCAAATTGTCCAACAATCGGTCTTTTCGTACCTGGTGCTCCTTTTGTGCAAGTCTCATGCAGACCTCTTGTGGAAACCAATATGAAAAATAATCTATGTCGAAGTATTTTCTTGCATATTTGTACATGCCTGGCATTCGTGCACTTCCAGTTGATTCTTAATGCATGGAGTATGTTGTATACTGATGTATACTGTGTCCTGTATTCTGGTGCATGTCTTTCGCTGTCCAATCGCTGGCTCTTCGTGCGCTCGATGTCCCTTTCGCGGAATCTCTTTTTGAGTCATCAGAATTCTTCGACTAAAAGCACTGCCAGTTGCTGCCAGTCTAAAGCACTGCTATCAAAATCTTGAGGTTCCTCCATCATTCCAGTGCAACAATTCATGAAAACAACCAAGGACCTTAGGGCGAATCAGTCCATCAGTCCATCACTTCGCCTCCTTCGCCTCCTGGCCAAACTTCCGAGGGTAACCTTGCGGCAGCCCAGGACTGACGACACAGCGTAGTTGCCGACCAACTTTCAAGTCCTCATGATCCTGAGGTCAGCCTGAGGTAATACGTCAACGACTGCCATCTGCGTAGCCCTGAACAGGGACTTTTCTTGGATAGCTCCCACTCTTTCGCCGCTTTGCAACGGCTTTTCTTATCCTTTTGCCATTCTTCGTCGTACCATAGTGCAAGCTGTAGAACCCATTTCACTTGCAGCCAAACCGTCGTCATAAAGCCTTTCGAGCTCGTCTTGAGTTGCGAGAAATCATTGTCGTCATTGCATGCGAAAGACGAAACCTCGAAAGAGGCCGCTGGCATCATAAAGTCGCCGTTCGAGGATGAAGGTCGCGGATGAAGGTCGATCGACAGGCTCTTTCAGACTGGAAGAGATGCCAAATTGGTGATTTAGCAGTTCGCAGATCCCCTGAAAACAGCCTGAGGGTTTCAAACTCCACTTCGACCAATCCCAGGCACGCGAAGCAATTGAAGCACAATCTGTCCCTCTCGCAGGCTTCACTTCGTTGCTGAATAGGCTGCAAACCCGTCTTTCCAAGCTCGGTGGGACCTCGTGTAGATTCTTTTGTAGCCCGCCGCCCGCCCATTCTGAATTGAGCAGGCGCCTACTTAATTAGTAAGGGAGTAAGCTCCTAGCTACTTAAGCTATTATCATATACTACATATGGACGCAAAATAGCACTGGCACTAATCATTTGGTTCCTAGATCTTTAGGGAAACTACGAACACCGCTGCAATCATCAGAAAACGCTCGGGACGTTCCAACCTCTAGGACCAGAGCTCCATGCTGCTTTAAGAGAGGACACTTGGCACGTCGTTTCACAATCGCAGCCCGCAGCAATCCATAAACCGCCACGGACCCATCCAAACTGCCCGGCCGCTCTTCACAAGCCGCCACAGCCGCAACCACTTGCGCGCTGCGCTGCAGAACGAAGGACTCTATGGGCTCGACGGTGCCTCTTCCTTGGCTGCGTACTATCGCTCGGCTTGGGTCTTACAAAGCTGTATCGTGTTTTATCTTTGCAAAAAGCCTGGTAAAACTAAGCTTAATGAACTTGGACGCCCTTGCCCAACGCAAAAAACATATGGACAATTGAAAAAGAATTGCATTTGAACACTTTAACCGGAGCCTTCCTAAAGGGGCCAAACGCCTTCGCTTAAAATGAAAAAACTTCCTCCAAACAATCAAGGCACCTCTACCCTCGCCAGGGCCGACCGGTGTTGCATAGCCGAGCTCTTGAGCTTGGCGCCGCGTAAGATATGGTGGATTGGAGACAATGACATCAAAGCCATCTGCCGAAGTTGCTAATTCTTGCAGCTGAGAAAAACACAGTTGCAGTCCTATGAAGGTCTTTTGTGGTGGCAAAAGGAGCCTGCCATTGGTCTGTGCTATCTGCACCGCGGTGGCACTCTTGTCAAGACCAACAGCAAAGGCCTTTGAATCCTCTGGGAGACCCAGCAACGCGGCGATGGCAATGCAACCGCTTCCGGTTCCCACGTCCAACAAAGATGGAGACGACGAAGTTGCAAGGCTCAGCTGCCGGGCGGCTTCTTCCGCAATCACTTCCGTGCCCAGGCGAGGAATCATGACACCATCGCAAAGGAATCCATGCCCACAGAAACGTTCCACGTGTGCGCTGTTGCTCAAGCTCCGAAACACTCGCCAATGGCGACGCCAGGCTTCTTGTTGTGAATCAAAAGTCTTGGTAAAGGCTATTGGAATCGGAGCCCGCACTTCCAGTTGCCGATCGACGAAGTTCCAAGCGATTAAGCATTTCAGCGGTTTTTTGCCAACTGCTTTGCTACACGCATTCCGACCCAGGAGGCCATATCCGAGCTCTGCAAGTATAGCCGTCAGAAGCTTCGTTCCCGGCACAGGGCAAAAACAAATGCATTCCAGGATCTGAATTTGTCCTCGGTTCCGGGTCCATCTTGAGCTTTTCAGAGGCCTAAGCTCTTGAATCCGTTCGTGTGGAGCTCTTCGCAATTCTGTAGTCATTGATGTGTCACAGTCAACCAAGAAGACATAGTGGCACAATGTGCCTTCCGCTGCTGATGTCCTCCACCCACATGTGCCTTCGACGCCTTGCACTTCTGGACCCATACATCCTTCGCCCAAACTGCTGCGCAAGCTACGTGACATGTCTGGCGTTCTCCCAATCACAACCAAACCGCTCGAAAACGTTTCAATGCGAGAAATTGCCTCACTGTGACCATACTCCAAGCATATCAGTGCTTCGAGGTCCTAGCACACATCTGCAAATCATCTGCAAACATAAGTGTCAACATGTGCAGAAGTTAGAAGAAAAGCCTCTAACAACTCGTAAAGCAAATACGTATACATATATATTATATATATATGTTTTTGTAACAAGAGAATGAATTTTGTCAAAGTGCTAGGCCTTAGGTGTTGGCCTTTAGTAACCCTTCCCTTCCCAAGGGAGTCCGGAGGTCTTGGCGAACAAAGCTTACCTAAAGCTCACATAAAGCTTATTAGGCATTCCAAGATACATTATATAGTCAAAGGAAAAAAAGTAAATTGATACATGAAACAATACTTAATATACATTGTGAGGATGTTCGGATGCACTATGCTTTTTTAAAAGACATGTGCTTTGCAACTGCATGTACCAAACGCAAAGCAGCTCTCTTTGAAGCAAAGCTCTTTCACTGTCATATCTGCTGGTTTCCAAACAACCATGAACTCCAGCTCCAAATGCTCAATTCGTAGCTCACTGGTCTGAACGCCTTGTGGGCGAGGCAGCAAGGTCAGCGTGCTGTCCAAGTCCATGAAGCGCGCGATGTCTGCAATGATCGTGGCATCCACCTGCACCCGGCCTTCTTGGATGGCACGACGGGATTCCATCAAAGAAAGACCGAGTTTCAGGTGGACCAGATCAAGCAAGCGCATGCTGCGCCGCATGCTGCTTTGCTCAGTGTTTGGTGCGGACGCCGGACGGCGATCCGTTCGGCTCTCTGTCGTTGCCGCCCGTTCTCGATGCACTGCTCTCACACGATGAGCGTCAATGGAAACCACATCCCCTGCCTTTCCGCAGGAAATCTCAGATGAATCCCTAAAACCGGCAACAAGCTTGAAGTATAGTTTCAGGATTGTTTAATAGGTCCGGGTTAGGAACAGGGCATTGATGGACAATGTGAACCTGTCTTTCATCAATGTATTGATCATTTTCTTGTTGACTTGATCTGTGGGGGCCTGCAGCTGCAAATGCAAAAAGCGCTCGGGCACTCCGTTCACCTGCACAAGACCATCTCCAATACGAAAGCGAGCGACCTGCCAGGGGGACAAGCAGGACTTGAGCACATTGCAGCAGTTGAGAAACTTGAAATGTCGATCAATGAAAGGTCTACTGTGGTCGGAACGGAAGGGAAAGGAATAGGTATTTAAAAACAGAACCAAGTCTACAAGTCGAAAAAAGGAAACAAGTCTTGAAGAAAATATGTCTTTCTATTTGTATTTCATTCATTCATTCAAGCGGAGCTTGTGCGAATCGCCTTTTTGGAGAACCACTGAGGAAAGGATGGCCCGAGGTTTGAATGGACAAAGTCCAAGAGTGTCGACTCTTCTCTCACCGTAGCCTGGTCACAAGTGCCAGCCTTTAGGGAAACTTACAGTAACTAGTTTTGTCTTAGAGTTCCGAAGCTCTCTCTCACTTTAACCATCTCCTGTGTCTGTTTGCACCTCGCGAGAGAATTCCAACTGTGAAGAAACACATCATGACGTGTGAAGCTCCATACAGCTTGCAAAGATTTATCGTAGTGTATTTCTGAGGTACGTCATGCTCATTGTAAGGAAAGGTGACTTGTCACACATTGACCCCCCACCTGAACAAACATCTCAACCAGGACATCTCATCGACATGGCTTCGTGCGCAAAACGAACAAATGGTCAATAGCAAGTTCACAGCTGTTTTCTTTGCAAACAGATTTGACATAAACATCAATTTATATAATCCTACTAGTAACAAGGGCATCGCTGCGGCATCGCTACTGGGAACAAGTGCATCGCTACGAACGGAGCAAGGACGGTACTAGGGGAGCTCCTGGCCTCACTCGGAACAAGCTTGCCCAGCAGAGTTGTCTTTTTGAAAGCCGCACGCCGTTTCTTCGGGCCAAAATGGGCCAAGTCTATCAAGTTCTTTGCAGAATTTTAGATGTTCGACGGCCACGGCGGACTGCTCCAAAGTGACCCAAAGCTATTAGGTTGGAGGCCATTGCTTCTAGGCTGGAGGCCCCTACTATGTATATTCCACTAGGAACAAGGACGCTACTAGGGGCTCCTGGCCTATTACTACTGGAGCAAGGACGCTACTAGGGGCTCCTGGCATCGCTACTAGGAGCAAGGACGCTACTAGGAACAAATAGAATATAGAGTTCCGCATCTGGCTGACGCACCAATTGCACTTCAAGGTGGAGCGCACCTGAGCTGGAGATGCAACGACCAGCTAGTCTCCTGCCAGCTGGGCTCAGAACCCACTCGAAAGTTCAGCCAGGATCTTCCGAATTTCTGCTCGTTCCTTGACTTCATTAGTAATGTTAGGAGCGCCCCTAGTAGCGTCCTTGCTCCAAATAGCGATGACCTTGTTCCTAGTAGCTTCTTGTTCCTAGTAGGGCCCGGAGCCCCTAGTAGCGTCCTTGCTCCTACAAATGTAAATATATAAGCAGTGAATCCCTTTGAGGGACAGCAGCTATGCTATCCTTTTGGAAACCTGACATTGTGTGGTGCCATGCATTCCACTGACAATTGCCACATCACACGCGACACCTGTTAGGCCACAAAATGATTCTTAGATATTCTTAGACTGTTTGATGTCGGCGGGTCAGCTCTTGCAGGTCCAAGTCCTCTTCCAGAGGCCCCGCAAAACACATGGACGCAGCATGCGAAGCGTGTTTCCGGGAACAACAGAAACGCTTTTGTTACAACAGGGCCTTCTTGTGCAAAAATGCGCAAAGTGCACGGATGGGCAAAGGCAAACGAAAACCTCAGACTTGTGAAAGAGGACATGAGAGTTTACTTGGGGCCTTGGAAAGCATCAAGACTTGGAAATTAGGATGGCCCCCCCTGTTTTGGCTATCTCCACGATTGGTTTCAATCACTATGTGTTTTGATGATCCTTGATTCATGATTCCCTCTGAACTCTGAACCTCTGAGTCACAAAACACAAGGGGCGCGGCGGCTGTGTATTCACATGAACCTTTTTGAACCCGAAGGTAGAAACTAAACATGATTGCAATTGGAACAACGCAGCCACCCTATGATCACATTAAGGGATGTGAAAGTGCTCAAGCTCTTCAAGCAAACTTACATCACATCACTGGTGTCCGACAAGAAGTTTCCAGGAAAGGGAAAAGGATCAAGACCAAGATGGTTCTACACAGGGTTGTCCTTCGCAAAGCGAGTGTTATGAATATCATGATGACTTCATTAAGAAAACTGTTGAACTTGTGGCTCGGGATGTCCAAAATGAACCGAAGCGAAAGACTACAAACACGGTTTGTTTCTCCCCTCTCATGCAATCACTCTGAAATGATCTGTTTGTACCTTTGCGCTGATTTCCTCAACTGTCGAAACACCACTTCAGATGCACTGCATGCGCACAAGTTTGACCAGCCATCATTGAAGACATTGAATATCCTGGAAATATATCGAGAGCCTATTAGCTTGGAGGCCATCGCTACTAGGTTGGAGGCCATCGATCTTAGGTTGGAGGCCATTATATATTATATAATATATATATATATACTTGTTTGGAGTGACGGTCAAAACTTATTGTTATTGTTGTTCTTCTTCAACTAAAAAACGGGCATTAGCGGTTTGGAGTTGGACCTTATCGTTCTACAGGGTTTTGCGCATAAACCTACCCCTCTTTACTAAAGTTGTATTCGCATGTTTTGATCGTGGCTCATATAGAGTATATAGTATAGAGTTCCGCACCAGGCTGACGCGCCAATATGCACCAACTTGAGGCCAGGGGGAGGAGGTCGAAAGCTAGCCGAATCGCACCGGATGTACTACAGTAGTTACATAGTCGGCAAAGCATGTAGTGATTACATGTTTTGGGAGAAAGGTTGCTACGTACATACTTTGCGCTAAAGAATGTACATGTGACATCACCGACTGGGAAGGGTACATTGGAACTCGTTGGCAGGCACGAAGATGCGTGATCTTCAAATCTGGGGGTTAAATTTACCCCCCGCTTTTGTATGTCTTGAGTCGGAAAGAGGGGTAAGCATTTCTGACATCACACGGACTGTCCATACACTAGGGCGTCCGTAGTGTAGGAGAAGCACGGGCAAAAGATATATGGAATAGAGTGTCTTGAGGAAATATCTGGGGGTTATATAAATTTATCCCCCGCTTATGTATGCCTTGTGCCGGAAAGAGGGGTAAGCATTTCTGGTATCACAAGGGCTGTGCATACACTAGGGCGTCCGTAGTGTAGGATAAGCATTGGTACAAGGTATAAGGAGTAGAGTGTCTTGAGGAAATAGCCGGCTTATGGTTATGGCAAATCTGGGGGTTAAATTTACCCCCCGCTTATGTATGCCTTGAGCCGGAACGAGGGGTAAGCATCACAAGGACTGTGCATACGCTAGGGCGTCCGTAGTGTAGGATAAGCACTGGTAAAAGGTATCAGGAATAGAGTGTCTTGAGGAAATAGCCGGTGTATGCTTATAGCAAACCTGGGTGGTAAATTTACCACCCGCTTATGCATGCATTATATAGGTTAGAAATAGGGGTAAAGAACTTGTAACAGTGAAGTACAAGTCCTATGCAGCAAGCAGCAGCCAGCAGCAGCAGCAGCAGCAGCCGCCGCCAGCAGCCAGCAGCCAGCAGCAACCACCAACCAGCAGCCAGCCAGCAGCACCACGCAGCAGCAGCGCAGCACCAAGCCGCAGCAGCAGCAGCACCACCGGCAGCAGCAAGCAGCAAGCAGCAGCAGCAGCAGCGGCGTCGTCAGCAACAGCAGCAGCAGCACCAAGCCGCAACAAGTAGCAAAGCAGCAGCTACAAAAGCGGCAACCTCAGGCAGCAGCAAACAGCGGCAGCAAGCAGCAGAGCGGCAGCAGCAGCACAGTTTACACCAAGCCACCGTTTACACCCAACCAACCACGTTCACACGTTCAACCAACCCCCGCTACACGGCGCAACTGGGAGTCGAACCGTGGGGGGGGGGAGCGGGGGGAGGGTTAGCGTGATATATCAAGCTTTAAGGCACACAGTTCATCCCACTACCAATTGCTAAAGCAAAGAAGAACTCAGCTAGCATGCTAGCTTTCGTGATTTTGCCAAACCACACATGTCCAAGACAGTAAAATCAAACACTTTGCTCTCAGGTAATGAAGATTCATCAACTGACGAGGCGCAGCCGAAATGTTATGTGATGCATCCACAAGAAAAAACAAGCAAATGATCATGCTTCCGACGAAGCTGACCATGCTTCCGACAAAGCTCGTCAATGAATCCTAAATACAAACACTAAATCAGTGGATGTTTTGCAAAAACGCATGCAAAATCCCATGAGTGTCATCTTGATTCTCCAATAATTACATGTGTTTCCGCTATCCAGGATCATCATCCAAAATTCGAGTGCATGATGTCTTTGACATCCTGGTTTTGAACGCACACCCCAAAATCCAAAATACCAAACAAAACACCAACAATTTCCAACATGTAACAAGACCTCCACTAATGCCAAAACGCCTGCAGCTGGGAGTTGAACCGCGGGGGGGAGGGGGGG